TGCTCTTAAGACGCTTAGTTGAGTCTAACCCAAGGCAACACATTCGTGAAATGGTCCTGAAATTGCATGTCTCTCACGAAACAAAACGTAAACATCTATGGAATATGGGAAAACTTTATAAAGGGGTGTTTGAGTGCCTCACGAACTCTCCGATGATCACTGTTTCCAACGTGTGAACATTGCTTCGTCTCTTCTGGCACATAATGCGCGTGACCCATTTTTGGGTAGAATTGTCATCGGTGATGAAAAATGGATCCTCTATGCGAATATTAAAGTCCAAAAACAATGGCTCAGTCCTAGACAAAAAATCACTTCCGACCTTAAAACCTGGACTCCATCCGCAGAAAGTGATGCTTTGCATTTGGTGGGACATCAAAGGAGTAATTCATTTCGAACTACTCAATCCACACCGAACTGTCAATGCAGAGATCTATAGTAAGCAACTGGAAGGTTTAAGTTAAGCCCTTCATCAGAAACTCCTTTCATTCGTCAATCTGAAAGATGTTCTTCTACTCCACAATATTGCACATCGACATGTGGCACCTTTGATGCAACACACGATTGTGGAGTTGGGTTAGGAAGCTCTCCCCACCCACCATATTCTCCAGATATGGCACCATCAGATTACCATATCGACATGTTTTTGCTTCAAAGCCAAGTGATTTCTGTAATCAGGGCATTAACAACCTGATTGTAAGATGGAAAAGCATCATCAATAAGAATGGAGACGTTCGGGTTTTTTTTCCATCTAAAAAAAGCGACATTGAGTTCTTGGCGACCAAATACCATATAAAACTTTGGTTTATTATCAGGGAACCGCTTCAGCGATCTTACCTTCACACTAACCATATTGTTCTAGAGTAAGAAACAAAATACTTACCAAACACGTGCAACATTTTTCTCCAGAAGAGAATTGCAAGGACGTTCATGCCGAGTTTATGAAGTGCTCAATAATGTCATTTTTAATTGATTGGTGTTTAATGGTTTTTTTCTGATTTATGTAATATTTTCTTTTTAAGGTCAAAATGAGATGGAGAACCTTTGTGAGAAAGAAAAGTAGGTTAAGCTCATTTCTATTGTTGGTATATGTAACTTACTGATGCAAATTATATCATTTCATTGCAAGAGGCCAACGATTGCGCTTCGTCTCTTACCCTTAAAATATGATATCAAGAGAGCTTGGAAGTATGTAGTTGGTCACAGGTTTCTTTTTCAACTTCTTGAATTGCAAATTTCGAATTTGCAAATTTGAGGAAAACTTAAAACATAAGTGACGCTAAATGCAAGAAATTTCCAAGGCAGAATGTTATTATAATTCTTGACTAATATATTATTATTATTTTCTGGTGGTTAGTATAACCTATGCAATAAACATCATAAATGTTATTAGTTTTTTGAAACCATTGTATGAATTTTACTTCACAACATATATTAAAACAACACTGCATCTTTTTCAGGTATTTTAATACAAGGTAAAATGAATGCATACCAAAAATGCATTTCAAAATAAACAATTCAAGTTATATGCACATTTCTACTTTCGCAGGTCGTTACTTATAGTATGAGTAAACATAAACCTAAACAAAAAATCGAATCGTATAAGCATGAGATTCCAATTATGTTGCTTTCTTTATTTGAGTTGAAATCCTAGAATAGTTTTGTTGCATCAGCGAGGTCACGTGACTAGTATCACGCCACGTCCTTCTCTCGAACCTTCGTGAATTATCGGGAGACTACTAGATTGGGGGTAGCTGGAATATATATAAGATGTTCACAACGTGATGAAGTAGTGATTGAGTAATTGAACTGCAGTCAGAGAGTGTGTAATTAAACGGAGTATTGTTGAAGTTGAGCACGTGAGACGTTCGTTGTTATAGCGTTGTTATAGAGCGACTGTTGAAATTAAGTGTATCGTAAAGTTGTATTCGGAAAGAATAAACCAGCTTTATTTAAGAAAGGACTTGTGTCGCTAAAGTTTCGTCGGAACGAATTTACGGAAAATTAACTAACGAACGGAGACGTAACAGTTTGTTGAATTTCATGCAAATCTACTTGAGGACTATTTGAGCAGGTCGTCCCTAATTTTGAAGTGATAGACTATAGGGAAGGCAGCTAGTCAACAACATCCATCACCATCCCTTATATTACTCTTCAGTGGGATTGACCGTTATTCTACACAAGAAATATTGCTTATTGAGGTTCCGCACTAGCTACTACAATCAGAAGTTCGCAAGTTTTAAACACAGTATGGAATAGTCACTGTAATATCTTCTTCACGAACTATTCCTTATTTTCACAAACATTCTGGAAAGCCTATATGATACTATTTTCAGTAATAAAAAGTGATGAAAAAACTTCTATAGCATGAAGGGAAGACAGACACACAGGTAATGGAACATGTTTAGCATAATTAGCGCTACAGTCACGGAACTGCAGACAGACCTAAGTAATACATCGCACAGTGTAAATTAATAATGTTAAATCCCAGCGTATCTCACACTTACAACCAACCACTAAGCGTCATTACTAGCCAGGGAGGAGTGAAATTAACATCTATTTTCGTATTCCAAATTACAGTGTCAATGTTAGTGAAACATTTCCCAAATCGCCATAATAGTGATAATTTGTATAGCTTGCAAATAATGTAATAAATGCACAAAGGATAAACAAAAGCCTAACTGCTATGAATACAACCATAAAAGTTTCACCTCTCACATGAAATACGTAATTAAATATACTTAAGTTCAATATGGTTGTTTAATGATTTCATTTTTATGTCTTTTGTTTCTTTACTTCTACATCGTCAATGCTCAAAACATCATCTAATATAAGAGAAACGGAAATAATTACAATTTTACGATTTCAAAACACAAAGTTGAGTAAAGCAGAAAAGAAAACAGGATAAAAAGGAAACTTGTTAATCAAAAACTAACACAGTAAGAATAAAAATTGAAAATCGTACCCGAAGCTTTTTAAAACTTTTACAAATAAGATAAAAAAGTATACTATGTTGCAATAATGAAAGTAAAGGCAAGCTCATTTATCACCTTAAAAATGAATCATTAATGCATATACGTAACTATTTATGTATTTAGGCTTGACATAACTGTTTATAGCCATCCAGTTATCGACAAAATTAATTTACATGAAGCCTTTCAAACATTTCTCTCTCAGATATACCTGCATGGTATTCCAAGTGTACATGTATGTGTATTTGATCAAATTAAAAAACAACAACTTTTGTTTCTGGAAACCAACGATAGCATCAATCGGCAAAATTAATAAACTATGATTTCATTCACTCTCTTGTTCTCCTTTATGTACATATATACATTTAAACACAAATTTTTGTCTCGTGAAGCTAAACTTTCACCTACCGATACATGTGTACTAATACCACTACGCTACCAATTTTGGGAACATTAACTTATATTACTTTATTAATCTAGCAAATAAGAATTTCTGTAAACACATAGTATTAGAAATGTGTAGGTTTTCTTATACTTATTCTAGATAGCACAGAAGTAAAAATTTCCTTTTCATACTATTACAGCGAAAATCAGCATAAAATATATCATGAAAATACTTTAAAATTCACTAGAATCATAAAGCTCTAAGGAATAAAGATTTGAATATACCTGTGATAAACGCCCAGAGGCACATGAACCACGCCAGAAACCGCCATAATTTCTTAAAAATCATCTCATCTAGAGTTCCACTTTTATGGTCAGCTTGCTCCTACTAATTTTGTAAAGTCCTCTCAACACAGATTCACTGTAATTATTCACTGTAATACATCCAAACAGGAAAGGATACTGCTTTTACTTAAAACATCTTTCGGAGGTCTTCTCTCTTGACATTATGCTTCAAACCGCAGCTCCTGCTAGGTTTGCCAATGGAGTAGCCAATTAGAAAAAGCGAAGCCGCGACTTTGATTTGTCCTTGAGCTAATATTATTCACATAACAAGCTTTAAACATGATAAGTATTTATATACTTTCCTTGTTGATTGAGTACAAAATAATAAAGGTCTCCACACATAATTTCATTCTAGGTTTTGAAAACACCTGCTATTTGGCCTATCAATGACGATGCGTCTCACAGACGTAAGCCACCACTATCGGGAAAGCTTATCCACGATTTTAGTGAGTTTTCTATATTTTGACCACGGTGCTGCCATCAAGCATTTAGCATACAAACTACTTACCGGAACAACGTCTTTGTTTTTAAGTAAATATATAGAGATCAGTGGAAAATACCCCAATATATTTTCTCAACACTTACTTTTTCTCTAGTATAGTATCAGAGGAATTAGAGTAAGTGAACCAAGCCTAACTGTAACTTTTAAGTTGTAAATTTTTAGCAATGAGATGGATGCACTGTACTATATATCGTATACATGTTTAAATCCTTTCCGTTGTCCGTTATAAATGTCATGTTCTAATGATTAGATTATGAAGTTTTATCAATCATTCATTCTCTCAGCTTAACAATAACAGAGTGATTAACTTATGCCATGGAATTGATTGCCGTTATTTACTGTTATTATTAACTTAATAATATTATATATTCCTTGGCTATAGGATATAATATAGTATATATATTATTATTAATACACTATACTCAGTGTACAGTACTGTCAGTAGTGCTAATACTAACTTAAGTAATAGTATAGGTAGCTGTCAGTTAAATTATAAATTAAAATTAAGAAAAGAGTCGATTTCCTGAAAATATATGGTGCGCTTAAATTTTTAACTTTATTCAAGGGTGGATGTGCAAGAACAACATTGAACTAGAAGGACTGTATGTTATTATTAATGTTTTCATTCCAGTGACTATTAGTGTTACTGTTAAAATGACATGACTTCTCATGATGAGCATCCCTTAGTTCCAGCATAAGACTTGTTGCCAAATATTCTATTATTAAATATTAGACTAGATACTTTATTACACTTTAAAATTCTTTACCTTAGGGTCAAATATGACTAGTGGTTAGTATGCTGGACTGTGGATCTTAGTTTCATTGATTCATATCCTGTTCTGGTAAACAGGAAATGGAGCTCCACACTTTTAGGCTGTGAGTTTTAACAGTAATGGTAAATCCCACTATTCAATTGTCCTTATAAGTTTTAGTAACCAAAGAGTTGGTTTTGGAGACTAGCTGCATTTCCTCTGGTTTATACTTCAACAAATTAGAGACTGTTACAGTGCTAGTGCAGATAGCTTATGATTATTTTTGCACAAAAAATGAAAATCCTATAATTTTCTAGTAATTTTTTTTACATGCATTGTAAAAACTAGAAATAATAATAAATGTGCAATTACATATTCTTTAATCTGTAACCAATGTACACTGAGGGTGTGCATTCAATAGGAATGGACATAGAAGAGATCAAGTTAGACTGAGGTAGGGGGGAATGCTCCAGTGATTAAGTCAAACCTCAGAGTAAAATTGTTAGACAACATATCTTGTATTTAAATGTGTTAGAATACATAAATTTTAGTATAGTGTTTTTGTATTTTAATATATCATCTTATTCACATAAATAATAGTGTAGAATTTATATTCTGTCTGTTAAATTTGCTACTTTATGTTAACCTGGATATGTTAAGGTTGAAGCACAAAACCTTTAGATCATAAACAAGTTACACATTTTATATGCAGTTACTTGTGTGGGAAAAGTATACATTTCTATTATCAAGATAACATAAAAACTTGCTGGTAAGTAATCTTAATTGAATACTTTCTGAAACCAAATCTTAAATACATTTATGAAGATTTTAAAAATGAATTTGAAATAAATATTATGTATAAATCTGTGGAATCAATGAAAAAGTATATATATGATTTTTTTTTCTGTAGAAGTAATGCTATCACTCAACTATTGATGTGATGTGCAGTACTCTATATAGCAAAACATTTCTTACTATCTATTATTTCCTCTGCTGTTAATTATTTTTTAAATTGTGTTTGTGGTGTCCTTCCAAGTACTGGTATACACAATAAAAACATTTTTCACACACCTTTGAAACACCATAAGTTGTGGTAGTATTTACAGTAGACATGGGCCAAATGTGCAGTACAAATTAAAATCTCAAACGCAGTGCAAACAGCATGTAAACAATACATTATAAGCACTTTACACACACTGTTGAGTAGTAAACAAGCCACCAAAGCACATGCAAAAGTTGGTAAAAACAAAACTTTCACAAAACCACAAATTTGTCAATCTCACTGAATGACTGACTTTATCTCATGCATATCTAAATGTACATGATTGAATTATGATACCTTGGCTAACAGCAATTTTCTTAGTTTTTTTATAGCATTGGTAATAACAATAACCATTTTGCAACACTACTGATGAGCTAACAATACACTAGTAGCCATAATCTATGATTATGAGTATGCTCTATGAGTTGCCAAGTAACAAGCCACCCTTATATCACTTGTAGCTGCACTTGATACGTGATCAGCCTGCAGCTGCGTCATCTAGATAAAAAAAAAGACTACGTAGATTCTCTAGATCTAGGTTCTCACTATGATCTAACCTTTAAGAGGTTTTCAGTTGTTTCTATCTGACTCGAGGGTTCTGTGTTGGGCAAATCAATTTTATCATAGTAGTTGGTGCCTAAAACACGAGTCTCCTACATGAGGATGATTGCTACCACTGCCAAAGTCTGACATACCTTTGCTCAAGCACTCTGTACTGAAAACAAGAATGATAAGTTGTATAATTTACCTTTGCATTGTTTTCAAAGTAAGTGTAACCTATTGACATCTAAGGTTGTACTTGAAACAGTGAGATTTTTAAATATGTCCTTTGAGGAAACAAAATGAGAGAAAAGGAGAAAATCTTATGTTGATAACTTTGAAGGGTGAATAATAGAAATAAGGTTAGAAACAGTGATGCTTAATATGTGAAACAAGCCTTATCCATTAATCCAGCCAAAGAAAAGGCTGCTACCCTGACTAAATGGAAGAAAAACTATAGCAAAGATGTCAGCAAAAGCCAGTAAATGTTAATCTATAACTCTAAGAAAAGCTACAAGAAAGATAGGCCTAAAGCCCAGTCACTCTCGAGACTTAGCACCAAGAAAAGCTATTAGAAGGATAGGCCTAGAGCATAGTCACTCTCGAGACTTAGTAACAAAAAAAAGCTATGAGATAAGTGTAAAAAATGTTTAAATAAAAAAATGAGGAAGTAGGAACGGGAGCACCAAAAGGTAAAGAAAAAGATAGGAATTTGTGAGATAACATTACAAAATGGTTGTAGTCATCATTTTATCCATTTCTACTTTGTGTTCATTTTTTAACTTGGTAGTTATTCGGACTAAATGAGGGTGTATATAGCTAAATTTCTCTGTTGTAAATTTTTTTCAACAACCAAGATACATGTATGTAATCAAATTATGTGACCATAAAAAAAAAAAAAATCCTATCATAACAGGGATGTTTGATGTCATAAGTGTGACCAGAAGCTCCAATAGTCATACTTTGCTCATGGGAGACATTAGTTATCTGACTGGTAAAAAGGTGTATTACATATTAGAATTTTAAATGGTCTGAAATTGAGTTAACTGATAATTTAAATTTAGTAGTTAAATTGTACTTTCCTATTATCATGATCTCTCCATTTCAGTAAACAGATACATTTTCTCAGATACTAGTGTTACGTATTGAGAATTTAAAATAGCCCGAAGCCAATATTGTAGTTAATTTATGCTATTTGCCAACAAAATTGATGTACACCATTTTCTTTTTTAACACAAATACGTTTTAATATACACACAACAGTAAAATTTACAATAACAATTATCACAAATAGACATTACAAATAATGATTTATAAATAAAAATTTCACAAACTTACAAACAATATAAAGTCTTCTTTCTAGTCTCGAACTTCCTTGATATCTTATCAAGGGTTCATAATAAGTGAGTTGATGGAGACATATTTCACTTAACGGGAAGCTAGCTAGTTTTGTCTTTTGCCACACACGCTGAGTATTCCACTGTTGAATTTATATAATGTCTTCATAAAAATACTAATGTCCGATGTGAATCCACCGAAATTAAATGGTTTGTAATATTGAAAATTTATAAATATTCCTCGTCAAATATCTGAAGGTTTCTGATTGATAAGCATTACAACAATCACAGTTATAGCTTCCTAAGTTTATAGTACACTGATTATAACGAACTAATAATAGATATTACTTCTTGGCTGGTTGCGTTGGTTATATTTATAGGCGTGGTAAAATTTTCCAGAAAATTCAGAGTACGCAACAATGCAAATTAAAGCATTTACGTACACACTTATACTTTTGATTCTTACTCTCAAGAATCTTCTACAACTTTGGAGAATAGGTGGGAGTTTCGCAATACATATCTAACACTATAAGCTAGGCACGTTTTTAAATATAAACTCAATCCAAACAAACATTGACATTAAAATAAATATATAACAACAAATTAGTTACAGGTGGGCCAACAGAATAGTATGAAAACTGCCAATTTAAAACATTTTTAAATTTGTTAAGTATTTGGAAATGATTAGTTACTGATAAAATTCAATTCAAGTCTCTAATTGGATCACAATTCAAAGTAAAACACGAAGTATGAATGGATGGAATGATGGTCACACCCACTTTAAGGTTTTACCGTGTCAAAACCATTAAGTGTTGTAATGTTATCCTGCCTTGTTTCTTTACTTTTTGGTACTCCCATTTCTATTTGCTAATTTTTTTTTATTTAAAAATTGTTTGCACTTATTTTACTAAAATTTCAACATATCTGAATTAAGAGAGCAGTTAGACTTGGAGGTTGCGAATAATAACAGTTGTGATGGACCTGCTTATTAGACTAACACATATAACAGTAAGAATAAATTCCAGTTATTCCTGAATAAAAGCAATGAATTAAAGAGGAACTTGTAGAATCATAATGATACATTTCATGGTTTTATGCCTACTTTTTTGTAATGCAGTATAACTTCTACAGAACTATTCAAAAGAGTATTATAACTTAGGATAACATATTAACAATAAGGGACCATTTGGTCCTTAAAGGCTAGACTGTCTTTATACATCTACTCCATAGCAGGGTTTGCAGTTGGTACTGGTACCGGCAGTACTCGGCATCCAGTACCAGTACTGGGCCATTAGTATTGGTACGGGTTTATAGTGTATCGTATGTTGAGAATAATATCTATTATCACATGTCCCATCTTCAGAGTTTTGACCAAATACCTCCTCTGGTATTTCAGCATTGCTTTTCACAGAATTATAAATCTTTGAATGTGGTAGTTTTGAGTTCATACTTCAATCGATTAGCAGATCTCACAGTGAAAATCAGCAATAGCATGAAATATGGGAAACTGGTGACTCACATGCTCTGGAAGAGAATGTGATTGCATGTTAAGTAGTTGCGTGTGTGATTAACCCTTAGCATGCGGGCAAGTCAAACTGCACATTTCACAACATTTTAGTGAGTTACATTCAAAATTTAATTAAACTACTTAATTATCATGGTATACAAGCAAACTTGATATCAAACTATAGATAATAAATTAAATTTTAATATTATATATAAGTTTAAGTTCTTAATTATATAATGAAATATTTTAAAACAACCTCAAGTTCCCATAGTGTGAGAATTTGGATATTTGTTCTTGAGCTGTCTCCTCTTCTGGATTTTTTTTTTGTCCATCCCCTAGATAACTTCGCAGTGTACCGTAAAATATTCTCTATAATTTTGTCATTGATATTCTGAAGCTATATTTTTATATTCTTCAATCTTATGGGGCTAAAGAGCAATCAATGAAAACTCAAACCACTTTCCATGCCTACCTCTGACATGCTTTAATTTATAATTTGGTAACAGATTTTTAAGAGGCCATCTCCCATTAAGTTTATAACCAATAGAAAGCCTAGATTTCAACTGATTCATTGCCATAGTTGTAATATCATGTGGGCTTACAGATAATTGACAATTTGGTTTGATGTGAAGACAAATTTTTCCCTAAAAACACACTTGAAAAGAAGGATTGAATTTTTAACTACTCAAGTCACATGCTTAGAGATGCTTGAGTACCGGTACTGGCGACCTGGTACTGCCGGTACTATTGCAAAACCTGCCCCAGAGAAAAGTAAAAACTTAAACCCACATTTTATTTTTCAAGAAATCACTGATTCCTTTATGAAACTTTAAAACTGCCAGCTTCTACTGCTGCTAGTGACAAATTATTCCATAAAACAATGTCTAATCTTTTTGAAATCTTAAACTTATGTTCTCTCCTATTGTATTCAGAAAGAAATCAGAAGCTTTTATCTTATTGATCTGAATAATAATAATATTTTAAGTTTCAATAATATTGCCTACCCTTTTCTCGAGAGACAATAATTTGAAATCTTAACCTTCCATCCCAGAATTATCCTAGTAGCCTTCTTTGATCCCATTCCATTAAGTCCTTATCCTTTTCCAAATCAGGAGACAAATCCCAGGATTGGTAATTAATGGAACCAAGGGCTTCTAAAAATTGCATCAGGATGCAAAATTCAAAAGAATGTGCATGTTTTGGTATTAAAAATATCGTGTCATACATCCTCTACTAGATAAAAACAATATTGTTATTTTCTAACAGTAAGAAAAAGGTGTATGTGAATGTCAATCAATAGTTAGTACTTTCATACCATGAATGGCTCATTTCTATGAAGTTCCCAAATACTTGTTTGTGATTCAAGACCATGCTAGGCATGTAGAGAAAGTTAATTAAATTTAGACCAGTGGCATGAAATAGTTTACCTCTGCCAATGCTATTAATGTGTGTGTGTGTGTGTATGTAGATTGCAATAGTATTTTTAATGTAATATTTAAGGATCGCAAGGGACTTGTTGGTCCCTTTAGGCTGTTCCATTCACTACAATTAAACATTTATTAAAACAAAAACTAAGTCAGCTCTTATCATTTAAATGTTTATCAAGCCTTCCTTTATGCTCTCTTAAATTTACTGAATCCACCACATATGAGGGTAACCTTTTTAAAGGCCAAACACTGTTAGAGAAATATAACTGTCTGAAGATGACTCTTACCCTGCTGAATAGTATACTTGTGTCCCCTAGTTCCACTATTCTCACTATTAAGCACAAAGATAGAACTCATCAATCTTAAACACCTCTATCACATCCCCACTAACTTTTTTTTTGTTTCATGAAAAGATTTCAGATATCTTATTTTGTCCTCATATTACAACCTTTCAATGCCATGTATTATACTCATAGCCCTTCTCTAAATCCTTTCCAACAATTCAGTGCTCCTCATAAGAAAAGGAGACCAAGACTGAACACAATACTACAGATGAGGCCTAATGAGTGACTTATACAATTTCATTGCAACCTCTTTAGACTTTTATTCAACATTTCTGTAGATTAAACCTAAAGTCCTATTTGCCCTGCCACTAGCAACAGCTCATTGCTTGGAAGGCTTAAGAGACTGATGAACCAGAACACCAAGATCTTTCTTTTCCAAAACACTGTTAAGTTTATTACCATGAAAATTACACTCATAATTCAAATTTTTATTTCTCACACACAATACTAACCATGGTGTCTGTCCAAGCATTCGTCTGTCTCCTGTTTATGGTGGCCACTTCCTGCACTGCATTTGTAAAGCTGCACATGCAGGCAAAGCTCAACATTCACTTTTGAAATTACAGGAGAACAGGTAGGAATAATGTTGATGCTAAATTTTATTTTGTAAGCAAAATATTCTACAATAAATTCTCAGGAATTTAACACACTATCATTCAATATTCAAAATGTGATGTAACATAAAGAATAAAAATGTAGGTTTACCATATGTTATTGTTGAGCAGCTCTTAGCATGACTGAAATGCTCAACAATTACTTTTCACAGTGGGTGGTTTAAAGAGCTTTGGATCTGAATGAAACCAAGAGTGCAATACAAATAACTTTTTTAAAGTCCAAGAAATAATTTAAATTGATAGATTAACTTAAACTTTTCCTGTCACTTGGGATGGGTACTTTTCATTGTGTATAAATAAAATGAGACTAATGTCCTCCCACGGTTTAAATCTGATTTGGATGAATCTTTGCAAGATTTTTCAACACCATAAGAGGAAGTTCTTAAAGTTTATTACAACTGTGTGTCTTATAAAGAAAAATTTTACTTAGTCCATGTGTTAATTTTTTTAAAAGAAACAAGCCAATAATAGCTTTATATTGCACCAAAATTAATGTTATGTAATAAACCCTTGCTAAAATTAAAAAATAATAGGACCTTATGTTATATATTTTTTCCTAAATCATTTCCTTAATGGAAAAGGTGCTTTTTTCCTTTTTAATAATGTACATTAATTTTGTACATTTATTATTATCAACAAATGTTTTTTAATAAAACTTATAAAATTGTGGTAAACTGAGTTTAATGCAGAACTTCAAAGTGAATATTTGTAGTGGAGAATCATTGTGGTATTTCAGAAGAAAAGTGACTTTTTCTGCTGGAGAATACAAGCATATGCTATAAATTGAATTGTTCTGTGACTGAAGGAATTGCAAGTCCTTTGTACAGAGTTTGTTGCACACACATTTGCAGGAATTTTGTAGTAACTCAATCTTTGTTAGTTACACAAGTATTTTTTTACTTAAGTATGAGTATAATATGATCAAAAACATTGAAAATCACGATGCCAAAAATTGTCAAATGGGAAAGTGATGTATCATGGCGAAAGTCAGAAAGTTTGAAAAAGAAAATGAAATGACACGATGCAAGTTACAGAAAAAAAAGAACAAGAAAGAGACAGGCTTGCTCACCAAGTTATTAGGCAAGACCCAGTGAGAAGAAGCCAGGAACAAACCCAAATTACTTGCCAAGATGCAGTTGGAAGATAGAGAAGCACACTAGCAAAAGGATTGAACTTCTCCATACCCTCCTCAAAACTCAATTATGCCAATTACCTTTATCCCTGGGAATCTTTATACTGGAACATAAAATCTTTACCTAATTTTTTCCAAGAATACTTCTGAACAAGCACGAGAACTAAGTTAAAAAACTTTAGCACTCTCCACCTTCAGTATTACTGAAATCTGAAGAACTGGCAGCTATCAAAGAACTCTCCAGAAACAAAAATATCACCCACCAGACAAAGAAAATAGAGTTGTTATCCTCAACAAAGCTGATTATATTAAGAAAATACTTGACATTCTTAATGACTACAATAAGTTTGAACTTATAAACAAAGAAGCATTATTCCATACTTTACAACTTCAAGGAAAAACTCAATAGTTTTTAAGCTATTTATTTATTTGTATATATATATATGTTATATATTCATTAAAGAAAACTTACTTGGTTTAAAAAGCTAGTTTTTTTTTTTTTTCAATTTGATAAAGCGTTAGTCTTTGCAATCCCTTTGGTGCAAAAAACGAGAAATAATTTACAATTTTAATAACAAGAAAATGGTATTAGTTCAAAAGAATAAAGGATATATTGAGCAAACATAAATTACAACAAAGAAAATTCAGAAAAAGTTTATTAAAGGCATTTGTACAATAAAAGGACTTACAACCCAAGCTAAATGTATGTTCTTGTCAATGCATCAGTTTTTCCCAAGTGTAAAAACTGAAACTTTCACAAATCTGAATTAATACTAACTTCATGTTGTGGGTAAATTTCTTTCACAATTACATTGCCATAAGATACATGTGTCATTGTTTTTCCCTTTTACATTATTTGGTGTTGTTTCATGATCATAATACTACAATTGTAAGGACTTAATAATAATATCATTTGGGTATTTTTAAGTATGAATGAGTAATGGTTCAAACCATTTGCTGTCATCTGAAAAGAACAGCAACAGACAAAAATGTATGAAGATAATACCACAACTTTATCCAAGAGTATAACTACGATTATGTAATATCTCATCACATTTTGAACATGTCACAACCAATTACATTATACAACAGTTTTGATTTGGAAGCTCAGGCATCTTAATATTTCCTTGCTCATCAAACTCTAACACAGGACTCTGAAAAAAAACAAAAAAACATCATGTTGCACATTTTTTGTCCTCAGATTGACATGGACTATCATAAAAATATAGAATTAATGTCAAAATATAGATAGATAAATAGTACAGATGTTTCTGATAAATTAACAGATATACAAGTTGCACATCTTTCTCCTTTGTACCTGTAAATTATACTCAAAACAAATGAGGAACTATCAGTTTCTGATGTTCTAGATATGACAAGGCACAATTACCATATTTATATATATAAGATATGCATTGGTGCTGGTACTGGAGGGACATCTGCTTTACCAATAATAATTTGGCAGGTAAAGTTTTTCTAAAGTTTCTTTTGAATATTTTTGTTAATGAACAATGTTATGCCTCATCAATATTATGTAATGGTCAAGCACTGTCACTTTTAGATTAGTTTAAGCCAAATGATAACACTGTGGCTGGTTCTTGCTTATTTGTTTGTGTGTACTCACACAGTAGGCCAAATACTACATGCATAGCTATTAATTTGATAGACCTACAAACACTATAAACTGAAAGACGTGTATAATACACCTAAGCACATAACAAAATTCATTTAAATACCTTTGTCCATTTTCATTGTTTAGCATCAATCTACTTGTAATTTTGTATTTTGTCATAGTTGTAGTGCAAATGGTAATAGACAGCAAGCATGCACAGTCAAATGTACTAATAATAATCAATACTTGTATTCATGGTTAATTTGCCTTATATAAGCAGAATTAAATTATTGCAAACATTCCTTGTGATATTTACATTTCAAGGCATATGTGTAGAAAAATGGTAATATATGCCCTTTTTTTTTTACTTTTGTAACACAGAGTGGCAAACACATGGTTTATAATAAAACAGAAGGGAAAAATGTCTTCTCACTTAGCAGTATGAATAACTGTAAATAGTGTTTCAACCAAGTCTTTGTGTGTTAGGTGAAAGGCCACTTCAGGTGTGATGTCTTAGCACAAGTTGATGTGCTCTGAAGTTGCTATTAAGTAACGCTTAGTGGAAAATCTTTTTTTAGGGCCAGTTAAGAAATATTTTTAAACATTTATTATCAGCTATATTATGATGTAATATCATACCAACTACTGAACGCTATAAACAATTTATAAAAGACTTACAAAAGCAACATTTCTTATAGTGACAGAAATGTTAATTACATTAGTTTTAATAATATATGAAATATTATACTGGAAAATTTATTTCAACAAAGTGGCTAGCTCATGATGTCATTAGGCCTTTAATCTATGATATACTACAATGTAATACAGAAATGTTAGAAAAACATAAAACCAATATTTTGGTACGTTTACCATACTGGCAACATCATTTCAAATCTGAAATGTCTGTAACTTACTGGTGTCACTAACAACAAAATCAGATTTGACTGGTTGGATAATACATAACTGTGGGAAGTCGAACAATGAAATGACCTTATGGCTTATATAATTAAAGTTGGAAAGCTCTTCTTTCATCTAAGTTATAACAAATAATTCAATCTCTGACTGGATTTCGTAGCATAGCAAGACATTTTTTTAAATTGTTAGAGTGGAGAAAAATAAAATTTGTCAAATATACCAGTTTGCTTAGGAACTGACTGTGGGATTATCCTTTTAAGTTTATAAAAACCACTAACTTTTCTCTAGGAACAGTATTAATAAAGCATGGGCTAGAACTACATGTTATTAGTAACCTTAATAGCGCACAAGAAATGTATTTGTATAATTACAAAAGACATATCAGATTTTCTTGATATCTAAAATTATTTAAGCATTTAATATTTAACTGTATTCAATCACTTACAATTTCACCTACAATTTCTTTTGGTGGATGTCCACAGTCTTGCATCTAAAAGAAAATAACAGAAAGTCTTAAATAAATTGCATGTTGTCTAGACAAATTTTTTTTTGTGAAGTATTCGAGGATAATGAAACAATGTGATAATTATCAGTCCAAAAATATTGGTATTTTTTCTTTGGTAATATGTAGCACCAATATATATATATATATGTGTGTGTGTGTGTGTGTGTGTGTGTGTATCAATGTATGTAATGCTATATAATACAGTAATTGTTCAAAGGTAATTAAAATCACCACTATAAAATAATAATGAACTTAATATAAACCAGAAACAATATAATCAAATTGAAATTCAAAATTATGTTTCTGTTATTATTACTTGTTGTTGTCCTTAACCCATTATCTGCGGCAGGAGCAGCTCAGTTGCCGTTTTCTGACTCACAGATAAAACTGAGTTGCCATCAATCACAATAAAACGGTAATTTTTGTCATTCGCATAGAGTTAGTTATATATGTGCGACTGACAGATATTTCCAAAGAACACCCGAGAAGTGCAATCCGCAATCCCTGTTGGGAGAAGAACATGCATGAGAAACTGCACCACTACTGTACTAGTGCTCAATGTGGAAATAGGTGTCGTATACATGGGCAGAATGTGGGAGGAGCAGAACCAAAAAGGGAGAGAAAACCGGTTGGGTTGTAATCCAAACCACAGTATACGAGAATCTCAATCTCATAGAAGAAAGACTGTAGAAGAACAATCTACAGACAGGAATGTGGGAAATGCTAAAATAGATGTGTTCCAAGGTGTAGAGTGGCTAGGTCACAACAGACTGTACATGGTCATTCAACTCTAGTCCAAAACCAAGCAGCATTGGGAACGGAACCTCTGACCTATGGTAGGAGGATGGTCCACACCAATCTTCACCTCAAGTTAAGTAAAACGTAATGTGTATACTGTGCAAACTGATCTACGAAATGTGGTAAATGTGCGCAAATCCACAACCAACCACACATCCAGGAACCCGACATCTGAATGACAGTAGAAAGAGATGTGCCAATGTGGCAGGTCACATCAAACTCAAACAGACTGGTACCCCACTGCACACCATCAGCCTCAGGCAGTAACCCCCCCCCCCGAGTCGGAGCACAAGAGGAAGAACCATCATATGAAAGTGGATCACCTCTAGAAATATATAGCAACTGCCCCCTCTGGATAGAACCTCATAGAAGCTGGGTGCAACATCAACCTCCAGGACCCACCGCATGGAGGTGGAGGTCCTGAGTGTGGAACAGGAAACAACAAATATGAGGATTATGTTGATTGGTGCAGCTCTAATTGAAAACCACTCACTAGGAACTGACATCCAGGTGATGGTAGGATGAGGGATCCCAAACAAAGGGTTGAACTGCAGTGTGATGTATCTACTCCAAAGCATCATCATCCTCTGGATAGGACTGCACAAAGGCTGTAATAAAATAGCAACCTCCATGGTCCACTGCATGGAAATGGATTGTACCTATAAAATATAAGCAACTTCACCCTCCGGATAAAACCACACAGAAGCTGCACACAAAATCAGCCTCTATGACCCACGGCATGGAGGTGGAGCATATGTATTCATAGGTATGCACAATATCATATCTTGGATAAGACTGCACAGAAGTTTGAGCTCAACACTACCCTCCAAGTCCCACCACACAGAAGTGGATCACATCTTGACAGAACTGCACAGAAGCTGGGTGCAACATCAAACTTCAGGAGCCATATCATGGAGGATGAACACATGATTAGAGAATCGCATGCCATCTACACCAGCAGAACACCACCACCCTACTCTACTGAATGGAAGCAAACACATTCAGGAGGACTTCTCCATGGTCCACCATCCCAGCAGCTCAGAACTGGGATGTGATAAGGATTCCCATACTTCACTAGAAGAACAAAGGGGATAAAATTCAGTGGAGAGTCCAGAGAAATACCAACACTGGAGACAGTGCAATGGGTGACCAAGAAAACACTATTTTGAAAAGCAGACCATTCCCAATTTATTCAATCAAGGGGACAGCAAGGATGGGCAGCTATCCCCCTTCTGCTTTACCCATGGGTTAGTACAGTCTAGAATGGGCATATTAATGAAGTAAATAGGTCGTGAAGAAAAACCTACTAGCAATCTTATGGAACACCCCATCTCAACAGTGTGCATTATTGGCTATGGGTATACATCGTGGCCATATGAAGCAGATCTGAAGTATAAGAAGCATACCTGGATAGGCAACACTCACCACTTAGCGGGATCTGGATCCTAAATGTGACATGCTCCTGGAGGGAAGAATATGTATAGAAAAGATAATTTACCCAGTCACAGCCGCACCAAAGTTTCAAGGATGGCAAGAGTTCCAAAGAGTATGAAACATGTACCCAACGAAGATAGTGGGAGATGAATGCATGAGGTGAGACTCCCGCAAAAAAGGGAAGGTGCTCGATCACAGAATCTTTGGAGTGACATGTAGAAACCAAACATATCTCCAAAAACAAACATATAGAGAAAAGGAGCCCTCCGGAAGCCACAAAGATAATAGGAAGACAGAACCTGTGAAAACAGTCCTTCCCAATAAGAACCCAACACCAAAAAAACTGCTTGTGAAGGGATAGGATCAAAAAGAACAACATTACCAATAAGGAGTAAGGAGAGAAAGTGTATTCCCCAAAAAACCCTCAGGGGATCAGTGGAATGCGTTAGAAAGGAGATGTATGTTGTAAAAGTATTGTAGGAGAGCTGAAACGGTAAGATGAAGGTAGCAAAATGGACATTGAAAAAATGGATAGGATTATCAGGGACAGCCCCCAACATGAGCAAACTCTAACTGCTGGGAGTCGAGAAAAAGTTGATCAGCTACTGATAAGCCAAAGCATAAAGATCAGAAGTCCATGGAGGATGAGGCATGCTAACACCAGCCCTAAACTGTAAAACAAAATGCTCAGCATGTACCCTGATGCCAGGGAAAGGATCGAAAACACGGGACTCTAATGATGGGTGTCATGTTAAAAAAGAAACAATATCATATAAAAACTGTGAAAATGGAACACACCTGAGAAAGAATAACCATAGAATTCATAAGAGATGTATGGAAAGACACAGAATAGGTAGGAGGAAGAAAAAAGTTGTCAAAATCTTCCTCATCATGAACAGGTTTGAAAAATGCAGGAAGAACCTGAACATTGTTGGGAGAAGAAGGAAGCCTCATATAACAATCAATCTCCTGATGAATGATAGCCAAAAAATCCTCAGTTGAGACCTCCAGACCTTAAATCGATAATAGCATTTGAAATAGCAGTAATGACATCTGAAGTTGTAAAAAACAAGCTTTGAAATGCATCTTAAACTGTGAAGAAATTGAAAATGAGAAGAAAAAATTAATAAAGGTAAGTTATCCTGGCAAACTACTACAGAGAATAATAATTGTTGTAAATAAATAAAGCAAGTAAATCAGCACTTCACAAAAAAAAATAAAAAAATTAAATGAACATGCAAAAAAGAACACAAATGAAAAACATCTGCACTAAATCAGTGCCTAAAAGAGAAGTGATAGTTCAGTAGAATCGAATAGGAGTCACATTAATCAGAAAGGTGTGTTGCACTGCTATTGGAGGAAAGTTGTCTCATGATGATATAAATGCAAGATGCAGATGAACCATGTTTATCGTGGGAGTTCAAGGCTTGTGGCATGCACATTTTCTCATATAGAGGGCAGCACTGAACAAGAACAGCTATATATGTGAAAGGAGATAATGTACCATATTGGAATCACCTTTTCACTCTTGCTTATTTTTTTTAAATAAATAACTAAACAGTCACCTGCACAGTGTTTAGTAAAGTCATTTACAATTAATATTTTTAGATTATCTATTAAGGTTGTGTACTTAAAATAAAATGTGTAAAAAATTTCAATGATCTAACTCTCCTGTGAGTTCAAGGAAAAATTTATCTAAAATAAAAATAGAAAATTTATTCAAAAGTCAAATTTTACCTTTAAACTCTCCCCTTGATTTATACACTGGATATCTGTAAAACACCTGTCTTTTTTACTTAAATTTAGTACTTGACTTATACACAGGTATAAACGGGACATAAAAAGTTAAAATATTACCTTGTGCATAAGGGCCAAAATTCTTTCAAATCGTGCTTTTTTTATCTCAGAACTGTCATCATCTTTTTCTGCTTCAAACTCTTGACATACTTGCTTCATAATTTCTAGCTGATGACTGTACTTTTCATACTGCTGTTCTTCAAGTGAATCCTTCTTCTCGGCAAGCCAATTTGGATACTACAGAAATAAATTCTAGGATTAAAAATCCTTCCATTCCATTTCAGAAAGCAATACTTGCAATAACACATACAATTCCAATAATTTAGCTTTATAGTTCTTCATGATTGTAAACACTGACAAGACCTAATTTTCTTCAATAAATGTAATGACTATGTATTTCTATATACATAATTTTTGGAAGATTTGCTAAAATTATAGTATATGAAGACATACTAGAACTGGTGATGGACTATTTATGCAATTTTATTAAATGTATTTCTGATGTCTGGGAAAAGCCTTGTCTTCAGTCCAAGAAAAGGAAATTAAATACTTGTTTTCTTAGTAAAAAATAAATATGCTCAAATAGTAGATAATCAGCTAAGTTGCACTAATACTTTTCAAATTACAAACAAAATAGCTGAAGAAAATGTGATTTAAAATTAAAAAAATAATAATTTTAAACCTTCAGTAGGAAGCATGTTATGCTAATCTGATCAAAAACATCTTAGATGTGAAAAAAAAGGTGAGGCCAAAAAAGGATTGAGTGTGTGACTTAAAGGAATGAAATCAAAATTGATAGCTACACTTCTAGCATTGATAAGAATTTTACAGAAAACATTCATTAGTTAGTCAGGCCATGTTTTTGTTCAATTTGGGGCATGATGGTGGGTAAAACAAAATACGCGGCCTAGCTAACTAATGAATGAATATTTGCTGTATCCATGTGTCTTGATATAATAACATGTAAGCACATAATGACTTATAAGCATAAGAGTTTTATTGGTAGTGGAACATACTACAAGTTTCAACAAAACATTGATCTGTCTTCTTTAGGTAGGATCTGTATTAAGCAATACATGGTTTATACATAGTTACAAACACAAAAGATGCAAGTATTAAATGTGATGGAAATGCTGTCAGCAGGTGACAGGATATAGGTAATGATCAACTCTAAAAAAGTGTATGAGCAGTGAAGAAGACAGACCAATGTTCTATTGAGACATTTAGTATGTTCCACGATCAATATAATTCTTCCTTATGCTTATAAGTCATTGTTTGCCTGCCTATTATTAATTTTAAACCTGTGACATTTTCCAAATCTACATAGAAATCCAATTAAATACAAATTCATTATTAGTTCAGTCAAAATTATGAAACACCCAACAATACTAGTAAACAGAATTTTGAATTTGCTAATGAATAAAATTAGATTATAATCATAAAAACCATGATTTCTCAATACTAAATTATAACAAAACAGTTTTGCCTAATCTAGAAATATTACAGAAAACATTCTGTTTTGAAATAGATTTGATTTCATGACACTTTCTAAGCAAATTTCTTTGAGAATGGTTAGAATTTAAATCCACTGGTTATTTTATTTATTAATGTACTACTTATTTATAAACTATATACAACTAAAGTAATGATAATTATATTTGCAAGATATGATAGTTTCTTAACAAATATAAACATATGCATTGGGATAGGCAAAAAAAAAGTGTCAAAAAATCTATAAATGTCACATATAAAAAAAACTCAGAGCTGTGCAAAAATGCAACTTTGAACATTTTCAAAATTTTTCCTAATGAATTACACAAAATTTTTTACAAATTCACAAAATATCAATTCTTATATATGCTTGAGTAAAACATTTTTGAAATTCATTTAGAATTATTACTTTTTACTTAAATTTTGAAATTTAATATGCAGATGTACACTTGGCACCTGAGAGGATTAATAATTATATTACTACCATAATATCCTAATGAAATGGAAAATGGTAACTGCTGCAATAACTAATGTACAAACAGATAATTTCAGTCATACTTACCTAGAATATTTTTTAATTATGTTTATTATATTTAAGCAAAAAGTACTTACCCAAGTTTTTTTTTCTTCTGACAATTAACTATTTTTTTATACTAATGGTAGTAGTGCATTAAATCATTTTTACTTAATTATATAATGCACCAAAGAACATAGACTATTAATATTTATTGTTTTATTACCCTTTGAACCATGTCTAACTACTATTTATGCCATAATAAGTTGTAAATCACTTAAGGAAAATCAAACCTTAACTAACCTAAAGAGATATCTATATTTACATTTTAGTTACTTTTATTATGATAAGTAAAGAATAAACATGAAAACAAATAAAGTACTTACCCATGTCTGTTGATGACACTTAACCCTACTTTTTCTTTTATATTTATGGTAATAATGCACAAAATAATTTTTATTCAATTAAATATTGCACCAATGAACATAAAATAATAGCATGCAAAAATCAGACATTTTCCTCTAACTATCACAATTTTTCTGGCTTTCTAACTTTGCAACAAGAGCTGTTACAAATTTCTTCAAGCTGGTCCTTATCTTTTTCGTGGGAATGAAGCCTGTACTAAAAGAGAAATCGATAATTCTCTGTTCAGAACACAAAGTAATATAATACGTCATTTAATAGATGAAATTCTTGGCTTTTCATTGGTTATAGATAATATAGAATTAAACTCAGGAGAGAACTATTAACAAATCCTGAAAGAGAGGATATGACAGGTAGTTGTGGCTCGTAACCAAACAAAATTGAAAACTATAAAAATTATGGTTTGTCTGAGCAACGACAAGTTTATAGTTAGTAATTTACATTGAATTTTGTACTTATTGGAGGAAAGGTGAATAAAATAAAGATGAGACACCTACAGACACCTTTCTCACACTAGGGGAAATTCAAAATTTTTTAAATATTGCCTTATAAAATTAAGAACTTAAAACTCATATACTATTAAAATACAGATTATTAGTTATGATTATATGACATAAAAAAAAAAAGAGTTTAATAAAATTTTGAATAATTTGGCACTAAAACCTTGTGGCATGCACAATAAATGATACTCAAGCAGATAGGGTTAATAGTCCAATAAAATAAAAACACTAATATCTAATGTTTATTTTTAATACTATATGGTAGTGTATGCATGTCTGGCTGTTTATATAAATTAAAAAAAAATGGAAAGAAAGGGAGGTGGGGTCTAGACCTCCCCTCCGAGATCCATGCTTGTATATACAACATTAATGAAACAGTTATTAATTTTGATTAATCAATTAGTTTATGTGACACTAATTTTTCCATTCTTGGTCTACCCTCCCCCAACAGCGTAGTTCCTCGCATGATGCTAAAAGGCATCATTACATCACAATTAAAAAGATTTTTAACTGTTTCTAATAACTGTAAGTTCTTTATGAATAATGTTATATTATTCATAACTAAACTAGAAAATAATGGTTATAATACTGGCAAATAAGAAAGTTTTTGCAAGGTTTTATAATAAATTTGAAAATATATTACTAGATAAATATTCAATGAGGAAAAAATACTTTTTGTCACTAGAGGTAGTTAGCTACCTTTAATACTTAACTTTATCATTTATTCAGTATAGCCGGGACTGGAAAGTAGCTAGGCTTGTCTGAGCTATCCCGTGCTATCCTTGAATAATGTTACAACAAAGAAAAAACATGAACTACCTACAGTACTTAAGGTAGGTTTTGTAGTTCTTTTTAAGATATTGGATAAGATATGTCATTTTTAGAAAAGGATGGAGGTTGGGAGTAACGTGTAGTAGAATTATTAGGGTGGTTATTATTCTACTTTAGGAATTTTTAGAACTTTTAATGGCAAAGGATGGTAGGTAATGTTTAGTAGAAATAATTTTTGGTGGCTTTATTTCTACTTTTAACTTTAATACATGTCTTTAAGAGTAACTGCCTTCCCACAACTGGCTGCAGACAATGAAAGGCAGTAAGAGTTGAGACATTGTGGGGATAAGCACTCAACTCTGCATCCTTAATTAATCTTCCATTACAGTTAACTGGTTTCTCATCTACTTTTTTGATTTTGTCTGATAGATGGGATATCCCCAATGCTTTTGGGTGCTATTACCACAGGCAATCATCGTCATGATTTTTGGATTACAGTTGGAAAAAGCGATGATTTTTAAAAAGTTTTGGACTTTTTCTTATATTAAGTTCATTATTGTTTTATAATGCTGATTTTGATCACCTATTGACAACTAATAGGGAACATCAATGGTCACCTGGTTTTAACACCTACAAGACGTGGCTGCTATCAATCAATATATGGTAGTGGCCTCAAATTGATTGACAGGTTTCAACTGGGTAGCAGCAGGTGAGAGCTGGCCTGGGTGGATGCAATACTGAGTTTAAAGGGACCCCTTGGGACTGGGAAATAGGTGACCACAAGCCTAGTTGACTGGTATGCTGGTCTGAACTGTACATTTGTTCGCATAAAATAAGTCACAAAGTGGACGAAGATGTTTAAGGTCATTAATCGCACAGCACCTTCTCAGCTAAGATAAAATATGCGTGCGAGTCTCGGAAATAAGATGTTTTGGTCTGACATGCTCAGTCACAATGGTGATGCCAATTTGAGTCGGTGTGCATTTCTCTTCTACTGTGCTTTGATTTTATTGTGACCAGGAGTGTATATAAGATGATGAAAAGTATGAAAATTACTTTGCACATGAATTATTCTAAACAATTACTGAATATATTCATGGACAAAACTTTATTTTATTTTAGTAAAAGTACTTCACTAAGAAATATGACTTTTTGTATGTGAAAGATTTGTAATATTAACTGAAAGACTGCTAAATTTCGTGAAGATATACCCAATATATATAGTTATAAGTATTAAATTTATGTCAACTTTAAACGAGTATAGAAGGTCATGTGACTCAGTCAAATTGACCGACCCCGTGTTGGATGGGTTAATGTAATTGATATACTAGTTTTGAAGCTATTTCTTTTATATATATATATATTATTTTAATCATTAACTTTTAATGATAGTGTAAGTAAGTTATAATTTTTCCAACACTGATACTGGTTTTCTGATACTGATTCAGTGCTGCCCTCTATATGCAAGATGTTTTGTTCACCACTAACCTAAAAGTTCTCACCTAATCCCATGTATTTCCTTGTGATATTGTTGCATT